AACCAGAATACTGTTTGTATGTTTCGTCGCGACAAATCATCCGCACTGTTGAAGTATAATCTATTAAATCCGAATAACAAGAGGAATGAGAATAACTGATAGCATTAAGAAATAATCATGAAAGGAGAAAAAAAGGGAAAGATAGTTGATGATTTCAAATGTGTAAAAACACAAACCTCCAAAGCTCTGCCTGAAAATATCGTAACAGTGCTCACTAGTGACTAGCTTCGTGAGGAAATTCTCGGAGTTCTAGTTGAGAAGACGTGACCAATGGAGTTCAACCCTGTTGGGTGTAGGCAGTAACTACCAAAGACAAATGGGTGAGGTCGCGCAAAATCCGTAGATCAATCAGAGTTAGACATTAACACCGTTGGATGCCGGCCCAGTGGTCCGATGGTTAGGCGTTCGCGCACAATACCGAAGGTCCTGGGTTCGAATCCTGCGAGGTGCAGGAGTCGTGGATGCGCACTGCTGATGAGTCCCATACCAGGACAGAACGGCCGTCTTTCGGTGCTTCCAGGTTTCTAATGGTGGTCTAACAATGATTGATTGATGATTTCGAATGTGTAAAAATACAATCCTCCAAAGCTCTACCTGGAAAGATAGTTGATTTTTTTTAATGATCAAACTTCAGTGATTAGACAATTTGTCCAACTGAGAGACGTCATTTATTTAAACATGCAGCTAATTATTAGGAGAATATCAGGGTTCGGGATACTTAAAAAAAACACATGAATAAACACTTTTGATAAGAAATAATTGCTACGATTGTTCAAAAAGTTAATCATTTTACAAGTAGACAGTTAAAGTATGATTTAATATCAAGTAAAAATCTCTACTCATAAGTTTGTATACATTCAAAACATTCCCAAAACGTTTATTGCTGTCTGAGAAATGAAGACTGATTAATTTTTTTTAGATAGATATAGGATACTGAATAATGCGCACTAATTTTACACTAAGAAAAAAAGTCATTAATGATGTGCTCATTTGTACTAGGTTATTGCTAGAAAACGAGGATGAGCAATTAAAAAAATCGAATACAAAATAAACAATCGAAATGCATTCACCTGTCTTTAACTGAAGTAATATATACAGATGATAGATACGATAAAAACTGATCAATTTCAGCTAAAATTGTATTATATCGAAATTGTGGATAACAGATATTCAACGAATTTGAAATAATAGTAGACAGAGAATAGAGAACAGATTTGTCCAATGCAGTAAGACAAGAATTGGGATTATCTTCACTTGCATTCTTTGTCATGTCTAAAACTAATTTAGACAATGAGTAATTTGTTTGTTCATCATAATTCAGTTGGGTAACTGGATTAAAATCGTATAAATTCCCAGTCATAAAGCGTAAACTGTTACGTAGCTGTAAGGTGAAAATGTCAATTAAATAAAGACTATAACAAATTGAATTCACTGAAAAAAATGTCAATGCATCATTTTGATGATGATAAGAGCAATTTACGTTGTGTTGATGACGAATGATGTGATATATTTAATATTGGAGGGGAGATTACTGAAGCGATTGTAAAAATCACATTTTACCGAATGTGTTCTAATAAACGTATTGTTTATACAACTAGTATGACGTTGCTCATCTACCAAGTATAGATTTGTGTACTTGGGTTCCAGACAAAATTTACGTGTGCGGACAAGTAGATGCTGTTCGATCACTTAAACTGAAGTATGGGAAAAGAGACTGGAGTCGCGGACGGAGTGTTTGGGAGTCAAATGCTTTAACCATTAAGCTATTGCCACACAATACAGTTTAGATATTGGTACACGAGAAGCTTTACTAAGACTTTTTTGAACTACAAATTTATGAACTATCACCTTAAAGTTCTATTACTTATTTCGTATCTAGAATAAACTTTAAAAAAAACAATCAACATTTAAATGGCATTACATGTCAAGATGTGGTAATTCATATGTTCATTTAGAGAAAAAGAATCGAGCGAATTGTAGCATAACTAATAAAACAATAGGTTAGATTTGAAATTTCCACTTCATGAAACAAAAGTACTTTTGTGAAGTCATGAACTGTAAAAAAGTGTTTTTTTCTTGTTACTTACAGCTTTATAACTAGTAGTGTTTTGATCGATTTCTTTAGAACCCAAACGACATACACTATCCAAGCCGGAATAACATGCCCATCGACGCATTATATCAACACAATCGTTTTGACTAGAAATTAATTCTTTTGGAGTAATACCATTTCCTAAAGATTTTGACATTTTACGACCATATGAATCCGCAACAAAACCATGTACTACAAGATTTCTAAAATTAAATCAAATCTAATGGTTTAAAAAGCATAGAAGAATACGGTGATGCTAAGTACAAGGTAATAATTGGTTTCTATAGACCTTTTATACTACTAACACATATTAATGATACTGCATGTATTACAGTACGAATGCTTTATCTAGTTTTATTAATAGGCATTTCAATCGGCTTAATGTCATAAATAAAATCTAGTCAAGAGTTGCAAGTGATTTTAATATTATAATAAAAAGATACAAGTTACCAATTCAATTCGAGTAATTAGTTAAAATAATTTACATTAACTTAAACATACTGGAAATTGCAATAACTTGATTGTGTTGTTAAGTGACATTAATCTAAATTTCACCAAGCATATTAACTGTAAAGACCGTAAATATACTCTGCTGATGACTTACATTGGTACCAAAGTTCAATCACGATTACTAGGTGGGATAACTAAATATGAAAATGAATACAGCAACACTTCCAGTTTTCTGAAAACCACCCGTTCATATAATTTAGATAATATAGTTAATAACTTCATGTACGCTCTAGATTCGATTAGTTTGATATTTTATTCATCCCAGTAAAAACTGCTAGTCGATGAAGTCAACAAACAGAGATGCACGAAACAAATATGTGTTCATAGCTTTATCAAGTAACACAGCTCTATTTAAATTCTAAAACAAAACTTGGAAACTGTTTCATTATCCATCTCATCGTCTACAATCAACCTATTGCGAACAATAATCGATTGAAAGTTTGTAATTCTTGTAAGCTGTCAATTCACAATAAACAAATTAAAATTATGCTATTCTAATCTAGAATATTTAAGTCACAAATACAGATAAATGAAAACAAAATCTAAAAACATCAAATAAGACAGATTTAAACTTTCGATTATATAATTTACTTAAAAGGTGCACGTCCAGTAAGTGCAATACTAAGTAGAAGTGAAGCTGAGAACCAACCACGGAATTGATCATGACCTTCTAAATAAGTATCTGCAACAAGATCTGAGCAAGGTAAGCGTGAATAATTATTACCTATAAGGAATCAATAAAAGAAAGAAAATAATATTCACTAGGCACATTTCACCAGTGATTGATTGTCACACAATTTTATGGAATGAAAATTGTTGTTTGCAATTATTGTTTAGTAGATATATTTGTGAATCCTTTTTGATTCAAACATGCACAATTATGAATTCATATTCAATAAGATCAGATTGACAGATTTGAAATTTTACAGTTAGTAAATTTATAATTTAATCAGCACATGAAATAGTGTGATAATTTCCAATCGTTGACGATTATTTAATTATCTTATTACTTGTCAATCAACTGTGTGAACAGTAACGACTATACTCATTGATGTTAATATATGAAATACAAAAAAATTTAGTAACATGCTGATCAGATGTAATAGAGTTATCGAATTTAAAACTTTATAGAATGTTTGTAGGTACAGAATACTATAGAAATCTACTAAACTGACCAATATGCATTTTTGAAAATGTAATAACACATACTATTTACAACACATAACCATGAAAGACCACTATCGAACCAAACATCGAATACTTCTGTACTTTTATAAACATCTTGACTTGTAAGTGACCACTAAAAGTAGAAAAGAGAAAAAAAACAAGTAAACAAGAGTCTTTGAAATACATAAACGAATAGTTCTATCATTAAATGAAATAAAACACTTTAAGCTTATTTAAGGTCAGTTTTCTTAGTAGTGGCTTAACAAAATGATTGATATCTAATCGGAACTCTGACAAATGTAACAAATTTCCAGCATATGAAGTAGAAAAGATAGAGACCAGGAGTAGCAACACTCACAGATAAATATGTTGACCGATATAAGTATTCTCGTACAAGCAATTTTTAAATGGCAACAATCCAAAAGTAATCAGTGAAATTTACACACATGTTCATTTTATTTAGGTTTCAGATATAACAGTAAAAGTAAAATTATTTACATTTTCCAATCTTATTAGTCACTAGGCAGTAGTTATTGTTAAAGCAAGCATGTTTGGGATGCGGTTCTTCACCTTGAAATGCAAAATGTTGCTTCAGGATTGGCTTGTATCGGCATCTGAACTATCGATAGAGAGTGAAGTAGTCGAACGTGTAGACCGCTTCACTTATCTCGAAAGTCTCATCAGTGACGATGGCCTGCTAACTGACGAAATCTAATAACGGATACAGAAATTCGACTGACGGACGGAGATTGGCGGAGCTTCCTGGAGGACTTTGGGGCCACGGTGGAGCTGGTGGGGGCCTGGGGCGGAGTTGACGGTGCTGGTGACGCTGCGGGGAGGTGAGGCGAAGGCGGCACACGACAGCCTGGACGGTGCCACCGAGGAGACGGTCACCGGGCGGCTGATAATGGAGTTCGACAGCCCAGCGGACAGGGAGGAGGCGCCGCAGAGGTTCCGGTTGGCGCGGCTGTCGGCCGATGGTGACCTGTTGGTGCTTGCTGTGGAGCTCACCGGATTGCGCCGTGAGGAGTGGGCGGGGCACAGTCTTTGGCGTCGCAATTTATCGAGTGTGTGCCTGCCGCCGTGTTCCAGCATCGACAACTTGTAAACGCTACACTTTGGATAGATGCCGTATCCATTCCAGACCAGTGATCAAGAACGATGACAGAAGTGGTAATCCGGCATATTGTAGCGTGTCAAGGAATACGGAAGGTGATATTAACTGACCAGGGGCTCTGTTTTGCAGGACTACGACGACAGCTTATTAAAAGGGGGGACGAGTGTGGTGCTGTGGTGCGAACTACTTATAAGTAGTATATAACGTGAGTGTCAACGTAAAGTCTGGGAGCATAATATGGGGGGAAGATCAAGAAAGGAAGAGTTAGAAAATAATGGAATTTGTATGAAACGCATGAATAGTGACAATCGATTGATGTTTGGCAACAGGAACAGTCCAGTTCCATAGGATGAACTGATCTTTTGCAAATGAACAATTTACGATATGGTTTTCCGATTTTACAGAGTAACTCTGTAATTTTCGTTAAATACAATTCGGTTGCCCCACCTGTGTTCTCATTCACTACAGTATGACAACGTGGACTGATGTACGTACGCACGAAGTTCTACGTTGCTGTTGAATGATTGAGTTATTGTTAGAGATACAACCCAGCTAATCGTATTGCTTAGTATTCTTGGAACACTACAACGCTCAATTATTCCGCAGAATCAGAACACTGCAACTATATTGCAACAAACCAAATTGAATGGGTCGAGTACAGAAGAGAGGTAGGCAGGAAGAAACGCAATCGGAATCCTGAAGGCTTACAGATAGTGCGTATTTATACATTAAGGTCAAATAGGAAAGAGCATCAAAGTCTGTGACATTGACAGTCCGGATGACCAATAAGGGACAACATTGAAGTATTTGACTTTGGCAGTTAAAACGACCATAATATTGACCAATAGAAATCGACCAATGGGATTATACTTCCAAAAATAGTACTCTTAGAATATTTGGTGAATATCCTAACAAACCCTGAACTGGACATGATTTAATCCAATTTATGTCCTGGTAACAGTTACAGTGAAGTAACACTAACTTCAGTCTGATATGTTAACTTAGAAATTAGCAAACTATTATACATGGGTGAAAAGAGAAACTTCTAACCTTTTTCCAAAATATTTCAGGGATAAGTTGATCACATGTTTCGGTAAACCAAAAATCACTACCTTCGGAGATCACGCGACCAACAATATGGTCAATGAAATCACTATGAACATAAAAACCATACTAACAGCTTAAAACGATATCAGAAAAATGTCAAAAAATTGTTGAAACAATAAAAATACAAAGGTACACTAAATTTGTAACCAAAAATCTGTAGGTAAAAGGCGATCTAAAGGTTCTGAGTATACAACTGTTATTTTCAAGAACGGTGTAGTGTTTTTTTGGTAATTTACAAATGGTGATATTTGATTATGAATATATATATATATATATATATATATATATATATATTTCAGGCTAAACACTAAGGCATTAATAACACACCTGTACAAAATATCACAACGTGACATGCTGGCTAGTATAGAAGTATAGGTACCAAAAAACATCGTTAGAGAATCAAAATAGAATGCAGCGTTGATTGATGAAATTATAAGAGGATCACAGTCGTGAACCTAAGCCTTCAAGATGTATTAGCTAGGAGAACAGGAATCAATAACCGAAGACTGAAGTGACATAGTTTGTACTATTACTAATTGCATTGTACCCTCTGGTTCTTCTGACATAATTGGGTATATCCCTAAAACGATATTATTCTTTTACATTTTTAACTAATCTTACAATGCTTTAAAACGTAATCGATTCATACTATATATATATATATATATATATATATATATGCACATACTAATCTACGATTGGCGAATTATCATTTCTCTTGAAAAGTACAGGAATCGGAACACCCCAGGCTCGTTGACGTGATATACACCAACTTGGTCTTTGAGATAGGAATGGGATCATAGAATCCTTATGAGAAGCAGGAAAAACATGAACCTTTTTATATTCCTCCTATACAAAAACAAAACATAAAATATCACTAGGAGAATGTGTTCTACTACAGGAGAATCGAATGTGTTCTGAAACAGGAATTATAAACAGTAATAAACATTTAATAATGATAAAATGTTTGGCCACGCTTTTCTACTAGCACATTTGAAAATGATGATAAGTACAAGTATGATCATGCATTCAGATGATCTAGTACATTTGATAGTTATAGTAGATTTCTATATTCATATCTCCCAGATTGAATATAAATAGACCAACTGGTAGTTTGGTCCTAGCGTGCTCTTAAAAAAATGCATAACAATGAGAATGCGAATAAACAACAAGCATCCTAGCTTTCTATTGTGGGGATAATTAGTCGTTGAAGAATAACTTATTAAGAATGTTCCAACCCAGTTCTCTTACGTAAAACATTATGTGCCACCGGTTTTCACTAACTACAGTATAACTAATATTATTTGATATCTTATTGTAGCATGTCGTTAATTCGGATAAAATGATACATTATGCTAAGTGGCCCAGTTTTTATTTCCTTATACATCTAAAAAATTTTAGTCAATGATTGCCTGTCGTAATTCTTCACGGTGATTTGCACCTACAAAATATTTCATTCCTTGTTCAAAACATATCACGTCACTAGTAAAAGTTCACAACCTACTGCTAATTATATGAGAAAATATTCATCTAATTACAGTAGTGACTATCCAGTAAAATCACGGAGAGTATCAGGCTAAAATAATGACAAACAACTGCCTTGAGCAAATCCTTGACAGTACTTACCAAAGCAAGATGCGATATTTTTGCTGTATCAACAAACCACTGATTAGAGAGCCGAATAATGACAGGCTTCCGAGTACGCCAATCGTAAGGATAGCTATGAGATATAACTTCTCTGTGTATAGTGATTGGTTCAAGCAATTTCATGACTAAATACAAACAATATGAAACATGTGACCAATGAATAAACCTTAAAGAAGTCAAAATTAACTTATATAAATGCTGTGGTAATAAAAATGAATGGAATTTAGTCAATTTGTATAAAACACTGTACTATCCTGTAAACTATGTTGAATGTCGGGTGATGTTGCTTAACCTACTAAACTTGGCAACTGAAAGCGTAATTCAGTCACACTTTAAAACATTATCAATCAGCCTAAAGCGTATTATCTAAAACTGATAAATACAGCAAAATTCCATCTCATCAAAGATTAATAAATGTAACAACTGAAATGGATGAAAAAATGTCACACTAAAAATAAGAATTCTGTTGATAAACAATGAAAGAGATAACTTTTATGGCTACAAAGTACATTTAATGACTTTGTGGTTGTAGTTAGGTTCACATGTTAGTAAAAACTCCAGAAGTCATTTAAATACAGACGCATACAACCAGTACGTCTTGAATTGAAAAATATTTTCAGGCCCTGATGCTAGTCAGGCGTCCAGTTTAGAGTTAAACCTAATAACGGAGCAAAATTGAAAATGAGAGAAAAGAGTTGCAGAGAGACACATACCTGAAGTATTTCCTTCATCTAACACACTGAGACCTGCCAATTCCGCACCGATTTCTTGAGTGAAACAGCCAGATTCATCAACAAACAAGTTCTAGGTAAACGAAATGCACTGAATCAATAGCAATTCAGTAAAAAATTAAATTATTTTGGTAAAATAACTAATCTAGCTGTTAAACTAGTAAAAAATGATTGAGAATGGTTTTTAAATTTTACTGAAAAAGTATGGTTTATGACAGTGAACATACCAGTGGTAAATCATATTCTTTTGCCAACCTGAAGTCCTCCTTTCCATGACATGGAGCTATATGAACCAAACCAGTACCGTAAGACTCGCAAACATGAGAGCTTGGTAAAAACGGCATTTCACAAGAAACACGTGTTGGATGATGATAAAAACAACCAGTAAGGTCATTACCTAAAGTGTAAATATATTTTAAGTTGTACTATTTGATTACCTATTAGCTCATCAACCTTGTGTAATTTACCTCTCGGTAGCATAGATCTCAAGTGGTCACAAAAATATTTGCTGACTAAATAGACCTCCCCCGACGCCTGACATTTTAGAAGGACGTAACTAAGAAAATTGTAACAAAAATCAATTGTCAGTACTATTACTGGATGAACACATTTAAATATCGTTATATTAGCATTTGGAAATCTGGATATTATGTTTTCTCTATATACGTAGTTGTAGTCAACATAGGTTGAAAAAAGACAAGTTCATCAAACCAGGATAAAGCGTTAGTCCATGAAGCCATTGAGTGTTCTATTAACAACTACTTGGTCAGAGACGTTAGGTGACATAACTCAGGAGCATGTACTTTTTATCGTCCCTTAAGTCTTAAGCTTCAATATAACTTCGTAATAATAACCTCTTTTTACAAATAATGTTACAACTGCTTTGACTTTTTTGAAATACGTCATACTAGTTTCCTTCTGCCGCACTGACGTGGTATGAGAATATAGGCTGATGAATTCTCACCAGACTGAGCTGATTTACAACTAAGTGCATGAACGTGACGTGAATCAATAAAGGATGCAAATGTAATGAACTTACATAGAATTTGAGTTAAATGCTACAGCTTCGTTAGAAAATATAGTCCATGGGTTGGTAGTCCAAACTATTGCATACACATTGGAGTCCTCTTGACGACAGATAGGTTATCAAAAGAAAGCTATACTTACTGCCAACATATTTTCCTATACGGTTGTTGTATTTTGTTAAGCTGAATTTCAAATAAGTGGAGCAACTTTTGTGTTCATGATTGTATTCTAGCTCTGATTCAGCTACAGCAGACTTTGTACATGTGGACCAATAGACTGGTAGGAACCCTCGAAAAATAAAACCCTATGAGAAAACGTTAATCGCAGATATAATAAAGTGCCTTGAAATGTAAATCCGAAAATGCTTTAAGTTCAGTTGCTTCAAAACATCTATCCATTGTAGAATAGTATTCATTCCAAGATCCAATAACACCCCAATCTTGAAAAGATGTTTTTTGGATCATAACAAACTTCTTGGCTAGTAGTGAAGCTAACTAGTAAAGTTTTAGAAATGACCAAGACACTTACTTTTCGTGTTTCATCTGCAGATGATATGTTTAGATTTTCTACAGCTTTAAGTTCGATTGGTAAACCGTGACAATCCCAACCGGGAATATACTCAACCGAGTGACCAGAAAGAAGTTTGAGGCGAAGAAGAACATCTTTTAATACTTTATTTAGTGCATGTCCAGCATGCAGTTCGCCGTTAGCATAAGGTGGACCATCGTGAAGAACAAATTTATGCTGAGAAACATTTTTTAGCTGGCGATTATAAAACTGATTCCATTTAGTCTTGAAAAAACGTTACTTTAGAGAGATAACTTACATTAGTAATCACCGATTTTGCAGGTTTTGGATGTATGGTAAACTGGAATTTCGGATTATTTAGCGTTGTAGTATATGCATTCTTGGGACGATTTAAAGATTTAGTACAATAAAAGGATGCCAATATTTTGTGTATGGACATTGAATATGATTGGTCTGAATGGTAAGGCATAAGAGTTAAAAAACAAAAGTCTCACAATACGTTACTAATATTAAAGTTATTCAATAAACTAGGAAATGTATTGTTATCTTACGCTGAGGTTTGCCAATTTGAAGAAATAGCCATTTTAGGTGAAATTAACTCTCGTAATTTAATTTTCATATGTAAACTGAAAACTAACACTGTGTTCATGTCAACTTATCATTTGCAATAAAATTGTAGAAAACAAACAGTAGCTACAAACATTATTTAAAAACAATGCAACATTTTCTTTCGTACAATGTCTTCAAGACCAGAACAACAGAGCATGGTAGCATTATTCTACATACCAATGCAAATGATAATACGATAGAGAAAATCTTGTAAGCCACTTTGGTTTAAACAATATGAGGGTGGAAGTCACTTTGCGGCTGCCCACACCGTGGAAGGGTACTTCGTGAGGAACCTGAAAATGAATTCGGTTTAGTGTTAGTCTGAACGACTTGGAAGCTTGACCGCAGAGCACAAAGGATATCAGCTTGAGGCCGACCACACATGGCATTTTTACGGGGAGATTGTAGTGTTCCCGACCGTAGCTGCTACCTTGATGTGGTGGTCGCGCTTGCCTATCGTAATCACCCAATCGAGCCATATTGGCTGGAACATAGGTTCCTGATGGTACTACTATGCCAGGCAGGTCGACTGGAGAACAGTGGGTCTAAGAACAAGAACTCAGGTCTCAGAGGAAAGCCGGACTGCTGACTGTAGACGGGTGTGACAACAGTAAGGTGTTTCCCTCGGACAACTGGCATCTGCACCAATGCTGCCTTCTCACGAGGAAGGAGAGGGTTAGAAAAGGTCAACCCTAAAAATGTTACACCCCGTCTTGCCTCACGGATTTCCATCTCCGGTGGTAAGGGCTTTTAAGAGAGGAGCTAATACTCAAAAAACCTTTCATAAAAAGACCGTACGTGACCGACCTCAAGCAGTTGTCCCTTGGGCTCTGCGGTCACGCTCCCACGTCGTTAAGACCAACGCTGACCTACCTTCCTTTTCAGGTTCCTCAAGAAACACCCTTCCAAGGTGTGGGCAGGCGGGAAGTGACATCCGCCCTTATACCCATAAAAGAACACGAGACCAAATTCGTCATATTCAAATCCTTTCTACATCTCTTAATAACTCTCTTATCTCCTCGACCAACCCTTCTTTCGATCATTTATCAACTCACGCCACTGAAGCAAACGGTATGAGCTCACGAAACATTATTCCTGGTCTTTTGAAAACCCGTACTAAATTACATATTGGACCTTTTAATGTTTAGACCCTGTGCCCAATAGGGCAACAAGTTTCATTAGCTAGAACTCTGGAATCCCGGGCGATCGATGTATGTTGCGTCTCCGAAACGCGCATACAAGATTCGAGTAAAATATTCAATTAGATCTCACCTAGTGCGGATAGAGACACAACAAGGTTTACGCTTCGTGTTTCTGGAAACCCTGATGCCGCTTCTCGTGGCCACGCCGGCGTAGGTATAGTATTAGGTCGCATGGCAGAATTAGATGTCTTAGACTGGATACCGATAGACAGTCGCTTATGCGCTGTCCGACTAAACGGGACGGTACCTACCTGGAAGGATAGGGACACTCGCCGTTGCCTCTTCATCATATCTAGCTACGCCCCCACTGACCGCAGTTTAAACGAGGTGAAAGATTAGTTTTACAGAAAGCTTTCGGACCTCCTTCAAAAAGCTAGGCGCTCTGATATAGTTATAATGGCTGGTGACTTTAATGCTCAATTAGGTAGACTCAGCGAAAAGGAAAGACACGTAGGTGGATCTTATGATGTCGCGGCTAATAGAATAGATAATGGAGACCGTCTGCTGCAACTATGCTCAGATAACCGCCTATTCCTAGCAAACACTAACTTAAAGCATAAGTTTTGTTTGAAACCATGAATCAATCAATGTTAGACCACCATTGGAAACCTGGAAGCACTAGACGGCCGTTTCGTCCTGGTATGGAACTCCTCAGCAATGCGCATCCACGACTCCTGCACCCCGCAGGGTTCGGACCCAGGACCTTCGGTATTGTAGGCGAACGCCTAACCATCGGACCACTGAGCCGGTATCTAACGGTGTTAATGTTTAACTTGATCAATTCACGGAGTTCCGCAACCTCACACACAGTCTTCGGTAGTTACTGTCTACACCCGAACAGGCTGAACTTTACTGGTCACGTCCTCCCACTAGAACTCGGAGATCCCTCACGAAGCTAGTCACTAGTGAGCACAGGTAATTTGCATTACGGGGTTGTTGTGAAGTTTTATTAGAAACCATGAATCGATCAATGTTAGACCACCATTAGAAACCTGGGAGCACTGGACGGCCGTTTCGTCCTGGTATGGGACTCCTCAGAAGTGCACATCCACCTGTAGACAGTAACTACCGAAGACTGTGTGTGAGGTTGCGGAACTCCGTGAATTGATCAAGTTAAACATTAACACCGTTAGATACCGGCTCAGTGGTCCGATGGTTAGGCGTTTGCCTACAATACCGAAGGTCCTGGGTTCGAACCCTGCGGGGTGCAGGAGTCGTGGATGCGCATTGCTGAGGAGTTCCATACCAGGACGAAACGGCCGTCTAGTGCTTCCAGGTTTCCAATGGTGGTCTAACATTGATCGATTCATGGTTTCAAATAAAACTTCACAACAACCCCTTAAAGCACAACGTGAAACACCTTTTGACCTAGCGACCCCCAAAGCCGACCCAACGATGGACCCAACTAGGTCACATCGCTATAACTCGTCAGTGGAGAGGTTCCGTTGAAGACTACCGCTCATTCTGGAGCACTCGTCTAGACTCAGACAATGCTCTAGTGCGGGCACGTATTTGTTTGCGTCCCTTAGGGCTTCACTTAATGATAAAAAAGGTAAGAATATATTTCAGGAACTAGAAAAACAGTTAGGCAGCGAAGTAGTAAGTGATGCCCACCCTGATACAGCCTGGAATGATATCAAAAAGGCTATGGAAACAGTAGTGATATCTGCTAGTAAGGCAAACCATAAGGTTAGGGAGAACTCGAGGATTTCAGTTGCGGCTACCGAACTGATGGATGTTTGAAAGCTCATCTCGTCTGGCTTTGCGTACGTTGAGGAGCGGAGTCAGCCTTCGCAATGATCGAGAACAGTGGGGGGTAGTGAAAGAAATGGAAAGGGAAAAGGCAACGGTAGGTAACTATTCAGATTCATCAAGGAAACCGGTATTAGGAACCCGAATGTGAGTGAAGTTATCTCGGAAAAGGATGGTTTTATGATTCATTTTCAATCCAGGAGATCGGATTGATGGGCAGAACACTTTAAGGATCAGTTCAACTGGCGTTCAGCCACACTTCGGTTACCCAAGATCTCCAATCATCCTGAATGGGAAACCGAAATAAGTCCTCCTAGTGTTTATGAAGTTGAGAAAGTGATAGGAAATCTGAAACGAGGGCGAGCAGCAAGTCCTGATAGACTGACCCCTGAGATTTTTAAGGATGGTGGTCTATTTTAAGCAGCTAGATTGACTGAGATATTAAGTAGAATTCGGAAACTGGACGTAATCCCATCTGACTGGTCCCAATTTATAAGAAAGGACGAAGGTCTTCTTGTGACGATCACAGGGGAATAAGTCTTACTAATATAGTTTCTAAATTGTTAGCCTCCATTATACTTAAACGCCTAACTAGAGCTCGTGAAGAGCAGACTCGAGAAAACCAGGCTGGATTCAGACCTGGACGTGGCTGTATAGACCACATCTTCATTAGGCGTCCGACAGTTGTCTTCCTGGATCTAAAAGCGGCATTTGACGTTGTGAATCGTAATGTCCTGTGGCAGTGTCATTGAAAGGTGTACCAAAGAAGTACATTACCTTATACAAGCTTTCTACTCGAACACTACAGGTCGATTGAGAGTTTATGATGAAATGTTATCGGAATTCTTTACTTCAAGTGGTGTCCGTCAGGGATGTCCACTTTCTCCGTTCTCGTTTAATTTTATCATAGACATACTCCTAGATATAACATTGTCTTCGTCTGACTCTTCAGAAGTCGACCTTTAACCAGGACACACGCTTGCTGACTTAGAATATGCTGATGACAGTCCTATTCAGTGAAGACGCTGACAAATGCAGTCTTCTGACTACCCTAAGCAACAATGAAAGCATGTTCAGGAAGTGGTTCTCGCCCTGCAAATGCAAAATATTGCTTCAGGATTGGCTTGTATCGGCATCTGAACTATCGATAGAGAGTGAAGTAGTCGAACGTGTAGACCGCTTCACTTATCTCGAAAGTCTCATCAGTGACGATGGCCTGCTAACTGACGAAATCTAATAACGGATACAGAAATTCGATTAACTTTTGCCAATATGCGTCATTTATAGTGTAAGCAAGATATCCGTTTGCTGACTAAAGCATGAGTGTACTGAGCATTAGTTCGCTCCATCCTACTTTATGGCTGTGAAACATGGCCAGTGAGAGTAGAAGATATTCGTAGGTTATTGGTTTTCGATCATAGGTGTCTCCGATGCATTGCCCGTTAATCTTTGGACAACCAAGTAAGCAATGCTGTTGTTAGGAAACGGGTGCTAGGTAAGAATGGCAGATCAATAGATGAAGTAGTGAAACTTCATCAGTTGAGGTGGTTAGGACATGTGTTACCTATGCCTAACCACCGACTGCCTCGTCGAGTTATATTTTGTGATATAAGAAAAGGTTAGACGAAAGTTAGGGGCGGCCAAACAAACAGATGGCACAAATCCATGAAAAACACTGACAACTAGATTGAGTCATGTTGGAAGATGTAGACTAACTGGTTGGGATCCGCGAAATGTTAGTAATCGATGGTTAGAGATCCTGAATGACATGGCTCAAAAATATTTGCAATGGCGCAGGAGCATTCACTCTTTATGTTCTCTCAAATCCTAATCTTCTGAATTCCTTATTATCTTTGTCTTTCTCTTTCTAAATTTACCTCACTGAATTATAATTCTTGAATAACATCTTCAAACCATAATCTCTCCGATTACTTCTAATACTTTGACTACATCTACTACTATTGGATTTGAATTGACAATTATATCTGTGCCAATGTGGTTTGGCAACTTGGACTGATGTACTTACGTGCAAAGCTCTACGTTGCTGTTGATGATGATGACCACATCAAGGTAGCAGCTACAGCCGGGATAAGTTCCAAAGAAAAAAGTTTGGTTAACTTTGTAAACTAAAGCAACAAAGAAAACAAAAAATTTATAAACAAATGATGCAATAAAGGACCTATACTTTACGATTATATTCCGTTTTTGTACTTTGAAAAAATGAATCTAAAATAATTCCTAGTGATTTAATGTTAATATAGTACGCGTTTGACTAACGAATTAATAGCAAATTGCAATAGAATTAGTAAACGTTTGGATGGTTTAGAGTATAGATTGATAGGTTATGAGTGCGCTTAGCAAACCTAAACGAGCATTACTTACATGATCATTAAGTAGTATCTGAAAATGTTAAGCAATCCTATAAAGTACCAAGTGTTTTTGGGATTAGATAGGACATTTAAAGTCAACGCAGCTGTGATTTTGCAGCTTTACAGGAAATATCTTCGAATTTAGGGAGGCGCAAAAAGTAAACCTGGAAAAAATGCGCCCGCAAACCACAGATTATATCGTGGTTTTACGAAAAATTTCAAGTTATTCTGGGGAGGTCCTTGAAATGTTTGAGGAAATCTAGGTTAGAACTTAGAATTCCAGACAGAAATTTTAGAAGGCTTCGGTTAAAATCCGAAAAAAATATCAAAGTACGGGAGATTGTTTTACTGCTGACACGTGATAACAGCAGTGATAGAGGGAAGTGAGTGAGCAAAAATGGTGATGACTTTAGATTTCGGAATGAAGAAATTTCATGATGAACAGACAGTCTCGCTACCTTTGTCCATACGGATAATGTTTATTGCATGCTGGACGAAAATATCATGAGACGACTATACAGATAAATCTTGACCAGTTATGGCTTTATTATAGATCACACAGAGTCGGACAATGGCTAGTAAAACACTACATTACCAACCACCTATACAAGCGAAGTCACTAACGTTAACCAAAAGGTAGCGTTGGATCTGTACAATCGCTTTTACTTCCTACAAATTAAAACAACAAATGACCGAAACCTATAAAACCTGATTTTTCATGCACTTTTATTATAATTTTGCCAAAATAAATTTATTCATGTTTTGACAAATTTATGATGTCTGCCTCATTCTAGGACGATATGTGTCAACCGGAGTTGGTTTTCCGCTTTGTGAGCTCGTGAATACAAGTTATTTCCTTAAGGTAAAACATCTCGGTTACAGATTTTTTCTTAAAATATCCCACACTTTTGATAAATATAGATAGTATTAGTTTCAAGCACTTCGTATGGGTTTTAAATACTGCATTGCGTACTACAACTAGGGTGCATTATAGCATTTTTGAAGTTTATAATTAGTGTATCTGAGTATTCACACTATTATCTGCGATTTCGCTATTTTTACCTCTTCAATTGTTATTTTTTGGGTCTCGCCTTGAAAACGAGTTGCAATTCTTCCTCTTTCCCTGTCTGGAATATAATTTTACAGTGCTCAAGAAACTGTAGTTAATGCGCTCTCAAGTACACATGAAAATTTCCCAATCCAAAATCTCACCGTGCATTATTATGATCACTCGTTATCAAAACAGCTGGTCTTCTAAATGCTGTGGTTTCCCAATATATGCAGTCTCTTATCACAAACTGAATTTTTGTAATATTTGGTCTGTTGTATTCCAACCGTTTTCCTTCGGCCAGTACTTGTCCAATATCCACAAGCTTTCCTGTTGTCTCATTTTTTGGTGACCTTTTTCAGCTGTGACTACTAATTAGATTTCGGAACTTGATTTTTAGATGATTTAAAGAAACCTTTTAAGTTACTTCATTGTAGTTCGACTTTTCATTTTTCGTTTCAAATTTATGTTCTAACCTGTCTGTTTGCCTCATTTAGTGTGATGATTAGGGATGTTATCAAACTGAACAAGGTATATGGAAAAGATGGTTGAAGTCTGTTACCTTTTGGTTGAATATACAGTGGCTGACCATCGTTTTCCATAGCACCTTTTTTCCAGATCTTTAATAGTTAATTCGTGTAACCTGAAGTTTGCTAGCTCAGTTCCTAAAAGCAGTTATTACATCTACAAACCTAGCTTCAAAAAAATACTACTCAATAGGGTTGCCTTTATTTGTCTACATGTTACTATTAAAGATGATGCGGTTTCTAAACGAAACGCTGATAAAAATGAGAACCACTTAGTCATATATCATTTTATGCATTGCCTAAAATATTGTTCTTATCTCAGTTTAGGGAGCCTATAAGTAGTATAGTACACAAATCTGTGCATAGCGACCACGTTTTATCTGTTTTCTCTTGCACTAAATGTGACTGTAATTGAAATTCAAAACTGCCTGAATGTTTCGTAGCTATACGATAGCATTCACCAGTCGCTTAACCGATTCTTAACAACATAAGACCGGGCTCAAACGTGTATCCGTTGAAGTTGTGTTATATTATCTATCAACTATTTATCCGTTAGTTCATCGGTCACTGATCTGAGTCTTGTTGGCAATTGGAAAACTTTTTTGGCTTCCAAACTCTACAAACACTACCTTGAATTCAACCAACTTCTAAGTTCCCAAGACTGAGCCTATTCTAAATTAGAACAAAATCGGCATTGAACGTTGTAAAAATTTGTCATTGCAGGTTACTTTTACTTTAATTTAATGAGTTTACTGATTAACTTTTGAGACTCTTAAAGGTAAAAGCTTACGTAAATGTCCAATAACTGACGTACTTACGCCTGTTACCCCCCAAAATGAGCATAGGCCGCCGACTAGTTTTAAAAATGTCCAATAAAGCCCAGTAAAATTTGGCCTTAAATTGCCACTGTACTAATTTCCTTCTAGATAAAAGATCTGGTTAGAAAATAGTAGCTAAATTAGTTTGTATCAGCTGCGCCTTGTGTTCTATAACATTTCTATGCTAATGTCATATGGCAACTTAAACTGATGTACGTATGTACCAAGTTTTACGCACTTGCCGACTGACTGAGTTAAAGTAGTATAAAATTCTCCTTGTTTCACAGTTCTACTGATTAGGTTTATCGATTACACATCTTATGAAAATGATCACGAAAAATAACATCCAAGGTTCTGCTACTGAGAGTTTCGTATTGTAAAAAACAAAACCATCATTCTTGTTTCTCCATAGAAATGCAGAATGCAGCTTCAGGATTGGCTTGTATCATCACCTGAACTAGTAATAGGGAGTGAAGCAATTGAGCACGTTGACCACTTCCCTTATCTAGGGAGTCTCATCAGTGCTAATGACCTGGTGTGTGACGAAATCTCACTACAGATACAAAGGACTCGATTGGCTATTGCCAACCTGCGTCACTTACGGCGTAGACGAGATATCCGTTTGCTAACCAAAGGACGAGTTTACTGCACAGAAGTTCACTCCGTCCTACTTTATGGCTGTGAAACATGGCCAGTAGGGGTAAAGGATATTCATAGCTACTAGTATTGGATCATCGTGTCTTAGAAGGATTGATCATATATTCTGCAACTACCGAGTAAACAGTGCTGTTGTTGTTAAACGAATACCAGGAAAGGATAGCAAATGAATCGACGAAGTTGTGAATCTTCATCAGTTGAGGTGGTTGGCACATATGTTACGTATTCCTAACCACCAACTGCCTCGATGAGGTGGTGAAGAAGTAGGTTGAAAGAAAGCTAGGGGGGACCAAACCAAAACATAGCAGAAATCCATGAAGTCACTGACAAGTGAACTGAGTCATGGTAGATGTCGACTACTTAGTTGGAGTCCGCGAGATGATAGTAATCGATGGTTAGAGCTTGAATGGCATGGCGCAATATCGTTTGCAATGGCTTCTCTCAAATCCTAATCCTCTAGATTCTTCTTCTGAAGTTTATTTCACTAGATTATACTTCTTGAATAAAGTTTTCGAACACTAATCTCTTTGATTGCTGCTAACACTTCTGCTACCTCTACTACTATGGGATTTAAACTAACAAATGTGTCTCTGCGCTAATGTGGTATCGAAACTTGAACTGATGAACGTGCGTACGATGTTCCACGTTGTAACTCACTGACTCAATATTCGACCATAGGTGTCTTCGAAGCATTGCTTGTATATCCTAGGACCATGCACTAGGCAATTCATAAATTTATGCCATGTTTTGGTCTGACCGCCCCTAGCTTTCTTCCAACTTACTCCTGCACCACAAAACTTCGTTCGTTGAGGCAGTCGATGGTCGGGCATTCGTAACACATGTCCCAACTAACTGAACTGATGAAGATTCGCTGCTTCATCGATTGATCTTCCATCCTTACCTTGTACTCGTTTCCTAACAACAACATTGCTCACTCGGTTATCCCAGGATATATGAGTACTTATACAAATTAACCGTCCATTGGCAAGGGTAATTTTGCATTAGTTTTCAGAAGAACTAAGGAGACTTCCCAATTGGTAACGCTTCAACGTGAACAGTTTGGCTCAATCGCGTGGCGCAACCACACAGGTACCTAACTCCTTGATGGTCCAGCGATAGAAGCTCACGATCGATATAATCGAACGTAGCCCTGAGGTCGAGTAATGCAACTATTGTGGGACTTCTGAACGTGTGTATATTCTAAGGCCTGACAAAGTGTGAATATGTGTTCTATTCACCCAAGTGCTGGTCTGAAACCAGTCTGGTTTTCTGGAGTCTACTGTTCACGAACTCTGGTTAAGCGTGAAAGTATTATTGAGACTAATATTTTATGAATTATATTAGACAAACTGATTGCTCTTTGATTTTTGCAAGAGGACTTTTTTCCTATTTCACTCACTGGGGAGATCAGTTATTGAAACCAGTCGGATGAGATTACGTTCAGTTTCAAGATTCTAGCTAAAATCTCAGTTAATATTTCTGCTAAGACTGAACGACGACACCAGAAACAGTGGTTAGTCGATCAGGTCCTGTTGCTCTCGGTCGCCTTAGATAGTCTGTAGCCCTTTTGACCTGATGCAGAGTTCGACGACTTGCATCAACTTATCATTCAGGTTGACTGGGTATCATGGGTAACCGGAATTCGGTTCACGGTCAGTTGAACTGTTCCTCAAAGTGTTCTGCTCCTCGATCCAATCTCCTTTATTGGAGACCAGAAATAACGTTTCGTGAGGTCGAAACGTTTGCGTGAGCGGTGTGAGGTGACAAATAATTGGTGTGGACAGATTTGGTTGTGAGTGATTCGATCGCGTGTGTTGTTTGGAGTATGATGTTGGAAATCACTCCCCGACCGAGGGACAACACAGTTACGCATCATTAAGGTCGACCTTTTTTGAATTCCGCCTTTGTGTGAATGCAACATTGCTGCAGATACTGGTTGTCGAAGGGAAACACGTTACTGCTGTCACACCCGTCTACAGTCAGCAGTGCGGCTTTGCCCTCAGACTTTTAGTCGTTGCTTTTAGTCTCACCATTCTCCGATCTGACCTGCCTGGCATAGTAGGACCTGTAGGAACATATGTTCCAGCCAATATGGCTCGATCGGGTAATTACGATAGGCAAGCACAACCACCACATCAAGGTAGCTGCTGCGGTTGGCACCACTAATACCATCAAAATAAATGTCTGTCCACAAAATGTCTGATGTGCAATACTTTATTCCAAGGAGTCTTTAAAATCTACACCAAGTAATTCACTTTTGCCCAGTTGGTGGCTGGTAGGACATTGAAAGAAATGTTTCACGCACTTAAATTTCACCAAATCTCAACGCATCCCTGCCATATGTGGTGATCTATTGGCTGAACGACTGGTTTTAACCGTTCTATCTTAAATTCTAAATTCTTTCCATCTGCTTTGGTTTAACAACTCCTTTGTATCATTAGCCTTCTCACAAGAAATGTTGTTTGGGAGTGTTCACACTAATTTGGTCTCTGCAAAGTAGAGTCACTCGTTTTCGGTAGGTTCTTTCTATTTTTCTGGTAGGATTTATATGTATATATAATTTGAGTTATTTAGAATCGATTCTTTTTGAGATGTTACTGAAACTTATACATGTTACTCATTTCTCTATCATAGGCTACATATTTTTGTCGCCAGTTCATGTTATATGTTATGTGTACTGCATGATCTCTTCTGCACAGATCCATTCTGGCGTTGGATCAATGGCCACTGCTGCTCTGGCCCCAGTGGCTGCTCGGCCACCTTCCAGGTCAGACCAACAACATAATGGAAACATTCAAGAACCTAGTCGACCTTTACGTTGGAGAGTCATTGACGACCAACCACATGTTGGAAAATACAGGTTTATACGAACCATAGGCAAGGGAAATTTTGCCAAAGTCAAATTGGCGAGTCATGTTATTACGGGACAACAAGTTGCTATCAAAATTATTGATAAAACCCAGTTAAGTCCTTCAAGTCGTCAGAAGGTAATTGCTTGTACTTTCAGTTTCATTTGATAAATTAGCTTTTCAGAGAAGTCAGGTTAATGAAATTGCTCGATCATCCAAATATTGTTAAACTCTTTGAAATTATTGATAACGATAAAATTTTATATTTGGTAATGGAATATGCTAGTGGTGGTAAGTTTTGTTTTTTCCCTGAGGTAGTTTAAAATAGTTCTCCAATGTTACATTTGTATAACTTTATGTGGTCATCATAAAGCTTACGATTTCTTAGCCTATTTTTTTATTACTTTACAGACTTATTTATTCAAGTCGATTTACTACAATTAAATGTATAACAAGTTTGTGGATGTGAATTTACAAATTTGTGCTGAAGTCGGTATTTTGCTCAAAGTTATGTTGCAGTTGTAGACAAATCATGTAACGTATTTTGTGGGTTTATAAATCTGATCACTGGATGAATCTTGTCATAATCATTACTTTTTTATTTCATGTAATGTGATGAGAAAAATATCCTATTCCCAACTGCAACCAACATGACACGCATGTTTTGCTGATTACTGACTTGGTATTCTGTTTTGACATTTATGCAAGAAAGACGGTTTATTAAATGTGACCATCAGCATCTACATTATTAGATTTTGATTACTGAATATTTGAAGTACTTAAGGTTGGAATTTCAGCAGTCAAGCTTCTAAAATATCGAAACAGTCCTAATTAGCATTCATATTTGTTTTTCCCTCTAGATTTTCGACATAGCAGAATCTTACAAATATTTTGTTTCAGCGAATAAGTTACTGTTGTCAAAATTTAGTCACTTTAGAATTACTAGTCACTCCGACTTCCGCATTCATGGTAATGGTGAGCTAGTTTTCCGAATACAATCATCTTATCAACACTGGACAAAAAAGTGTGAAAGTCTCTTAATACTTACATTCTTGACTTCGTCAAATTTTTAAAATACGATTTCTTTTCTATACTCTTAGGACATCACCTATCATCGCTTTGATCTTTTTCATTTGGATTTTTAGGTGAGGTTTTTGATTATTTGGTCGCTCATGGTAGAATGAAAGAGAAAGAAGCTCGGGCAAAATTCCGTCAAATTGTTTCTGCTGTTCAATACTGTCACCAAAAACATATTATTCACAGAGATTTGAAAGCTGAAAATCTACTTCTTGATGCCGATATGAATATAAAACTGGCTGATTTTGGTTTTTCTAATGAATTTAGTCCAGGCACGAAATTAGATACTTTTTGTGGAAGTCCCCCTTATGCAGCTCCAGAATTATTTCAAGTGAGTTTTGTGTCTTATTCCTCAGCTTTAGTTGTCTGAAATTTTTCACTTTGATGTGCACTACAGCATGAATTTCGCATCATTTCTTTTTACAAAACTACTATTTTAGGGTAAGAAATATGATGGTCCTGAAGTTGATGTGTGGTCGTTGGGAGTTATTTTGTACACATTAGTCAGTGGGTCCCTTCCATTCGATGGTCAGACGCTCAGAGAATTGCGTGAACGTGTTCTTCGTGGCAAATACCGCATCCCGTTCTATATGTCAACAGACTGTGAAAGTTTATTGAAGAAAATGTTGGTCCTTAATCCAAGTAAACGATATACTTTAGAGGTTAGTGACATATCAGTGCGCATAACTTCTATAAATCCATAAGTTGTAAGGTGATAAAATTTAAGTGTTCTGTTTTTACCAATGAATTAGATGGTGATGAAAGATCGTTGGATGAATACGGGCTATGAAGATAATGTATTGTCGCCGTACACAGAACCTGAACCAGACTACACTGATCCTGTACGTATTGAGATTATGGTCAATATGGGCTTTAGTCGTGATGAGATAGAGAAGTCTTTAACTCAAGGCAACTTCGACGACATTATGGCTACCTATCTTCTCCTTGATAGAAGACGTTCTTCACTTGATACAAGTTCACGTGATGGTTCAAATCTTTCGCTAAGGTAAATATATTAGTAAAAGTTATTTCTGAAGCTTAAATATAGCTATTTAATTTTTTTAAGCCGAAAGCTTTTTTCAAAGTTTTGCGTCAAATATATATGCCAAAGTTTTCAAATGTACCTAGGGAACCACTACTTAGCCATCATTTGACGCATCGTTTAGAACCATAACAACCAAACTTCAAATACTTTGCCTGGACGCAGAAGAAAATGCAACAACCCAATGTTTATTCGATTATCTCAAACTAGGTTTTTCTGTTTAGTGTACAAAGTTTTGTTGAGTCACCCGTGCTGAAACACAAATTTTATGCCTAATTTATATGGTTCTAATACAGAAACAGATTACATCAAGAAATACAAAATGTCACTCTCACCATACCGTCAAAGGTTTCTCTGGTGGGATATTAATTATTTCCAGCAGATAGTAAAAGAATAATGATCAACTGCTGCCAGCGATTACCTTGAGCTCAGTTAAACAAGAACTTATTATCAAACAACGAAAAATTTTAATAATGAAGACAAATCCTAACTAAGATCAAATAATAAAGCTTTAGTCAAAGAAGATTGAGAAATATCAAAATATGGTTACATGAGTCGTAGAAAAAGTTGAGATACAGAGCAGTGAGAAAAATTTAAAAAAATAACAAGTATCATAGTATAGATTAGTTGATCTAGGGAACAGTTGTAATACAATCGGTTGCGTAGGTCTAATTAAAACTAATTGAGAGTTTCAAATAACTCTACACTGAATAACGACAAGTAGATTAGGTAAGATAAATTTTTGGTTTGCTTCTACGGTTATTCTGATTCATCCATTCACATATTCTGAAAATATATCAACTTTCTCAAGAAGTGTTTCACAAAACGGATAACTTTTGTAATAATGAATGAGCAATACTTATTGACATCTAGTCTGTTACAGTTCAAATATTTACTCTGATTGGTCCGGATGCCATACGTAGTGACAATCTTTCATATTCGATTTTTCTGGACTGTAGCACCTTTTTGTGAATCACTCATATTGAATATTACAGCTAGTGTGTTCACATTCATAGTTAACGCTTATTCTCTGATTTGACTAAACTGTTCCCTAAGTGAAGTCACTAAATAATTAGTGATCAAGGTAATTTACTAATAGTTATTATTTGAGATATTACTGTGTGACCCAAAGTTGATTGATCGTTTTTAAACTGTTATCAATAAAGCGAATGGTGAATAATGAAATGCAACCAACTGTGCGATATTCTTACTGAGTAATTTTCAACTAATAATTTATTTCACTTTCAGGCAAAGTACTCATTTACTTTCTGCTGCACCAAACCCTACAACTGGTCCACTAATCTCAACTGGTGGTGTTAATTGTGCAAGTTTGGAACATACCTCAAATATTTGCGCAGACGATACATCGTCTGTTTTATCTACAAATGCTGATACGGGACCAATAAGTCAAAATGCACATTCAAGCTCGAAATTTACGGTCAATTCTGGAAGTGCCACTCGTTCCACAAGTACAACACCACCGAGTACAGTAACTGTAGTTAATAATGGTGCCAATAACAAACCGACTGTGAATATAATCACTCCTTCATGTAATTATAGTTTTAGTTTCATTAGATTTAATTGATATATTATTTCTCTTTATTATTCTACACAATAAATGCCGTCGCTATGCTATTAGCATACTATTTTCACCTAATTTTTTCTCCTTTGGCAGCATGCACTTCTGAGTCGGAAAATTCAGGAACTACGGTTACCAGTACAAGAAGTTCCATTTCACCTGTCAATTCGGTATCGACGACTACGTATTCATCTTCAAGTGGGAACGCGACTGTGAACTACAATACAGCCCTCAATGCAATTGAAGCATCTTGTCCATCTAGTAATGTTGAATCTATTAAGCTGATGCGAAATGACCTCGTTAGAGCTTCAGATCGCCCTGGTCGAGAAGAATCTAGTCGGATTTTGGCACGATTACGAGGCTTTACTGATGAAATGGCCACTCCAGTTGTTGGTGGGGGTGGCCTTACTGCTTACCCGAACGTTCCAGGTCAACGAACAAGTATTGATGCAGGTACCAGTACAGTTCGTCCAACTACTGCTGGTCAGAGAAAACCTATCACTTCACAAGGTTTGGGTGTAAATACGAAATCATCACCAAACTCCAATTCAGTTATGGGTAATTTTATTTTATCCTTTTTCTGTTTGAATTTTTTTTCTGATGTCATTCTCTTTTTTTATTTTGGCTGTTTAGAATGTTATTACAATGTTCAATGGTACTCATAACTCTCCTAATACTTTACCGGGTTTTCACCTCGGTAATAATAAGCGCACAAATAATTTATTGAATTAACTAAACCTTATGTTTCAGATTGATGATTCTTCAGTTTCTTATAGCTGGAGTATGATGCTTTAATCATTATTTTTATTCCGGAGATATGTCACTTTTTTCTGTCTGTTAGGTTTTATTTCTCTTTTGCTCATGATCATGTTCGATTTCTTTGAATTGTAATCTGTTTTATTCACTATGTATGTAATAATGTAACACTGATTTAGACGCATAGAGTCTAGACTTTTAATGAATTATTATATAACATTGAGTAGTACTAAGTTGATCCTATCATGTTTCTCCATTATTGTTTGTTATAATTTTTTTGTAAAATTACTAGCATTAGTTCTAATCCTCACAACTAAAAAATTGGTAAAGAAATGTACACAAATATGTAGACGTACATTTATTCTTTGTACACGTACGATTCAAATCCCGTAACGTTTATAATCACTTATTCAACTCCCTATTCCTTGATTTTTTTCTTCATTCATTATCACATTCCTGACATGTAATTCCATCTGCTTTTTGAACACTCAATTGAACATATTCCTAGATTGAATGTGTACTAAAGGTCACAGTGATTGGTGCTTTGTTATGTACCTAGTTTCCATTGGACAAGCAAATATTATGTTTACGACGCAGGTTGTTTAATTTGAAGATCACTGAAATTATCAATATTTCGGTAAGATTCGCGCTTACCTGTCACAGCACCATTCATTTCCTACAATCCTCGTACTGTTGTTTCTGTTTTCATACTCTTGTCTTCGTTGTCATTATTTTAATTCGAATGATCAGGAATATTTGTAGGATCTGATTTTCCTGCAGATGAATTTCTGTCGCTCACAGAGTCTTATCAGGGCTGTAGGTTAGTACATTTAGTAGAAGCCCCAAAGTAGTTGTCAGTCGCAAAGCGAATGGTAGGCACACATCGAATAGTAGCAGGCAACACAACAAAAAGTTAGTCCTGTTTACATAACTCGTGCAATTTCGTGATTGGTAGTTAAGTAAAATAGATGGGAGCAATAAGCAGTCAGACACTAAATGGGTTTGAAGTGATGGGTGTTTAATTTAAATACTTGGTTGATCCGTTCTTATTGATTGAGATCTTTGCATACTGTGATTCTATTTTATAGTGATTTTTTGTGTCATACTCGAATTCTCATGTTATTTTTTTTCTACATGCAAAGCACGCCGTACTCATACTATCAATTATGCGACAACAACTCCAACATCTAGTGATCAACAGCATGCTGTTAGGCGTCAGCCAGTCTATACAAATGCAGGAGGACGCAATACTTGTGTATTTGATAATGCTAATCCTAGAAACTCTGTCGCTCTTTCTGGTATCACTGGTCTCTCCGGTGGATCTGCTTTATCACCGTCATCTGATAAATCTACATCTGGGTCGTCAAGTGGAAGTGGTAACAATCAAGTTACGTCTAACGGTGCTGGAAGATTACCATCTCATGAAATTCGCAGGTTAGTTGTAAATAAATAACTTGATTTTAGGCAATAGTATTTACTTATTGCATTTCAAAAGTATTTTCAGTGTATATTTGTGTTTAACTGTGTAAAATAGTTTAGAATAAATTAAATTTATCCTATTTCAATGTTTCAGCTATGAAATGCCTAAAATTATGCGTAAAATAGTCATAATAGTCATGATCAGTTCTAAACATCGATTTATTCCTCATTCACTAAATTGTGTTTAACCTTCGTTTGTGATTATTTTATTCATAATTTTAAGCTGTTTGCAGCTGTCCGAAGCTTTGAAATAGGATGACTTCATTTTATTTTGAAAACTTGTTTTTATTGTGTAAATTTTTTCATGGATCCGATCTTGTGAATTTTTGTATTCGTTCTGTCTTAATTCTTTTTCATACTCCTATATATTCGCTTGGTTACTGCTACCAACTGAAACAGAAAAATAAGTTTTCCACAGATAACGCTCAAATAAACCGTTACAAATCTCTTTCCAGTTAAAATATCTGTTTTCACTACATTCGTCCGATTTATAATCTTAAGTTTCCTTAATGGTAAAACTACTTCGCATACTCTGACATAAATTTTCTTATTTTCTTTATATGATTCATTCTGAGAAATAAGATTATTTTAAAGGGTTTTATGTTGTTTTTTATGTTCTGGTCTGTCTACTCAGCGGCTCGCGTTTATTTATGTCATTCATTAGTGATTTCATACAGTTAGTTTCCTTTACGAATTTAATTAAAGCCAGCTTTATTTCTGTTAATTAATGTCTCGATCAACAGTTGTCTTTGGTTGGATTAGGAGTAAAATGTAGGATTAAACATGGCATCATTAATTTACATGCTATAGAAGTTTGAACTGTCTAAGAATATATGCTTCCTGATTAGGCTCCTTAAGAATATCAGTTTTCAGAAGTAATTACTTTAAATCACTCGTAACTGAATATGTAAATGTAGGTAATTCATCCTGTTTTCCCAAACATTTATGTAGTTAGTCACAAAGAACTGGGATAAGTTCAAGTGATTGTGTTAATACCAACAACTATTCTGAATCATCGTTATTTTATGAATTTATTATTAGTCTTTATCAAATAGAAATACTTACATTCTTCAATAAATGTGTGCTTTCTTTCAACATATCAACGTTTGGCATTGATATCAACAAACTTAAGTATGTGCAACATTTCACTAGAAAAAAAGGTGCTCAATTACATTTTTTTAATAATATTGAAATAACTTAAACTTGTTTAAAATCTAATATTGATTTGATTGATGTGTGCATTATTTAGTGTATTATACAATGGTGGTGATATGGCGTTAATGATAATCGATCAAAGAGGAGTTTTCGTACTAATTGTATTTGTGTGTCTTTGTTATCATGTGATGATGTATATGATTTGTAAGGTCATTATTATATTTTAAAATTCTTGTGTTGTGTTATTCTTTACTTAAGTTTGTGGAGGTTGACGCATATTTTTGTCACAAATGTACACATATGAATAGATTTACACGCATTTTTATTTTACAGAAAGCAAAGTTTAGTACTTATATATATATATATATATATATATATATATATATATATATATATATCAGTGTACATTGTATAAACATTGTATGTATATTGTTAAGAATTCGCTACTCTATAGAAAGACAAGTGACAAGTAATGAAGTTTTAGGCAGCATGAAGGTTTATGAATGAATTCATGCAACTGCCATAATCATTCACTATATGTATATTGATGGACTTTTGAATAAAATCATAAGTTTCATGCAGTTACTCAGAAATGTTTAGTAATTCTCTGGGAAAAAACGAGTGTATGTATGCCAAATTTGAGCGTTTTGTTTCATTCTGCGCAATCCATAAATCATACAAAAATCAAACACCTAAAAATTAATTTTGGTGAAAATTCAATCAAATATTTTAGCCTTCAATTTAGCTTGAGAAACAAAATATTTTCCATAGTAAACTGTATGTTATCCAAATCTATAAATTATTGCACCTATTGAATCTAGTTCAGCTGCTTCATGTCAAGTATTAGTTATTCACTATCTGTATGTGTGTGTGATTGTTCTTGTAAAGCTATCTGTATGATGAGCTTCGTTCTTATCCTCGCGCGCCTATGCATACATACTATTATACCTGTAGTAAGTATTGTGAAGTTAGAAGACAATCAATACCTAGTTTATTTTGTAACTTATGTAATGATCTAAATAGTATGGAAAGGCATACATGCTCACTGCGTGATGATATGATTGTTTATTTTAAGAAATGAGACTACTATACACCCACATTTAGGCTTTACGTACTATTTATACACATAAACTCATTATAACTGATTCGATACTAAGATAATAATAAAAAATCATCGAGAAGCTTTAAATATACATTGATTTCCTTGATATCAGTAATGGATGTCTTAAACAATAAGGAGATTTTTTCTTTTCATGGATAATATCGGTTTGATTTTTACTCAGAGTAAAGTTCGTTTTTCAAATTAGCATGAAAGTATAAAATTCAATACTTATTGTTCCGCACATTCCTATTATTGTTAGTCTTACTATACGAGTTACATTGTTTTCTAAACTTTCAGCCATGTTACTCCTGCACTTGTTCCTATGACTACTCGTACAAATAAAGTGCATCATGGTGCAAATATATCTAGTGGTACTAGTGGTGCTTATCATGCTGGTTCATTATTGGAAAGATCTGCAACGTTGAGTACAGCAGGTTCTAGTACTAGTGGAAATGGAACCTCATCGAATCAATGTGCTTCTTCAACACGTGGAACTGATGTTGGAGCTGTAGATTTACATCGTAATCAACCTTGTGCTAATATTGCTAGTCGAAGCGGGTATGTGGTCATACGTTTTTTTGGTAGAAAAACCTTTGCTTCTCAGTGTTTATCTTAACTTTTTGATGTTTGTAGATTGAGTGTCCTGCTGACTTATCGGTGGAATATTCCTCTCGGCTACTCTTAATGACATATTTTTGCTAACTCTTTTGTAGTATTATAGTTATAAATACAAATTGATTTTTCTTTTCATAATAATGGTTTTATATTGCAGAATCAACGATCATGGTGTAACATCTTTCAATCGCAACGATTTAACGTATAGTTCTCTTAGGTAGGATTATCTCAATGTTGTATCACCAATCCAAATAACCCACATTATGTTTATTATTTTCTGTCAAAAAGGCAGTGTCTAATATTTGTGCTTTTGTATAGTTACTTGTAGTAAAAACATTATTTCGGGTTATATATATATATATGCATACTGTTTTACTTGTGTCTGTCTATAAATATTTGCAATTTGGTGTTTTGCATTGTATAGCTGACCATCACACAACGTATTTCCGTCTAACTTTAACCTCCTTTACTTCAACTCGGCTTACTTAGGTTTCAATGCACATTTTACACATTACATTGTGGTTCGATTTTGTTTGATGTGAATATTCCTCTTACAGCATTATGTTTTAAATTTAATTAGTTACTAATTTTTTTATATAACAAATGAATTAAACGCGGCTGCAAAACTTAACAAAATAAACTTTCAATGTATGTAGAACTTATCTGGTTCAGTATATTGTCAGCTTCTATGGGTTAGCGTATATTATTCAGTATTTTCATATTACTCACCTTTGACGTGCAACTTAAGTTCCACAGCAGTTATAAACTATATACAACTTGGTACAAGTTTATATTACTCAAATTTCCTACATTTAAATATGATAAAGAAAAGCAGATAATTGAAGATGATAGTTTCACTGCAGCAGTCAGACTAACTGAATAGTTCAACTTTATCATAGTCGCGATCACATATTCTGTGTGTAACTGTCACCGTTAACTTTCACTTTTATCACTTATTATTATTTCTAATAATATTGTCCAGTTAATTCAACACTCGTTCAAACTATTTGCTAGAAGGAAATGCAGTGTTTTCCATTCACTCTTGATTCCTAGTATGTATCATATTTGAGTGGTGGAAAAATGGTTTTCATTGAGTTTACAAGTTACTTATTTAAGTTTTCCGTCTATATGCAATCGTTTTTCAAATAAAACAATCATTCATATTTGTCAGTAATAGTAAACAGATTACCACTTTGTAATTACTCGTACAGCTGATTGACAATTAAATCATCTAAAATGATTTTTATTGTGAATTAATCTTTTTTTATTAAATCGGAATTGATTTGTTTCAGTGCATAAAACTCCTTGGTGATGTGATTACTCCTAGACGTAATGATTTTAGTAATTCGAGGTCGGCTTATGTATTGACCTTAATATCGTTTCTTTGCGTACGAACAGTTTTTATTTATCATGAATCACCCTAATTTAAATAGAACAGGTAAATGGGGTTAAATATATTTCTGTTTTGTTATTGTGGCGATTTTGGGATTATTCTGTTCGTACTAAAGTGAACCAGAGTTCAAATCAGTTTTCATTATGATTGGTTATTATAGTTAACCATAATTTTACTGAATTTGATGTGCATTATTTCATCACGAATTGATATTAATCAAAGAAACTCCAAAAATCCTCCTGTTTTTGATAGTTATCTCGTATTCTAAAATTAAATAGCATTATTTCCCTGTTGTCTCTAATTTTAATGAATTCAAGATATTTTAAGTTGTTCGCCCTCATTTTATTATTTGCATTGGTGTTGTTTATGCCTATTAACTTGTGTTCATTTATATGGATAAACATTCTTATTCAACTGTAATTAACACATCTAACAGTGGTATATTAGTTTTAATTTATTTCATGTACTATTTCTATGGTGCAATCAAAACTATAAAAGCAATATTTAATTAATCTACACAATACTTACACTTGTTTTCTTATTATCATAACTAAAAATTCTGCATATATATATATATATATATATATATATATATATATATATTGCATCAAGATATTACTTGTAAAGCTGCTTCAACCCCATGGCCTGATGAAATAAAAGAACAGTAGCATAACATTAAGAATTACCGTACGTTTCCGTGTCCTAAGTGTTGGATCAGATGTTAAGGAAATATTTCATAGTCATTGAACTGTTTGAATATACTTGCGATTCTAGTAATTATTATTTCAAGATCAGACTGTGTTCTGCTTTGAAAACCATTGAACTTTGACTTCATTATTAAATATTAACTACTTTATTTTATTTATTTCAGTGCTTGTGTTAACTATAAACTCTCCACTATACATTTTTGTACTTTCAACTCATTTAGCCTGTGTTTGCATACTTCACATAATTTAGGCGAACCTAATGGCTATTATTTTATTGGAGTACAAGATGATGTCAAGTACTTCGATGTTTTAGGCTACATTTCTGCATACTTATAAGCGCTCATAAAACATCTTTTTCTGACTTGTTTTTACTACACTTATTCTTTATGCGTAACAACACATCCTTCATTTGCGTGATCTAACAGTGATAGTCTGGTTTTCTCTTAATTCACTTCAAAACAATGAATTTATTTTCAGATATTATTTAGGTCATTTCTGTAAGCATTTGCACGTTTCTGATTTGCATGACCAAACCATCACTATATTAAAATAATTCTTACTTTACATTTTTCACGGATAACAGACTTATTGAATATGCAAATGTTTTCATTTTGTGTTATTAATGTCGGACTTCTAAGACATAAATATTTTAGTCTAATAAAGCCTTTCTCAGTTGTACACATTTAGTTTCCTTATTTACTATTTACACTGTAATGGGAAACGAATTTTAATTCCATTTTAGAATGGGCGCGTCAAGTAACCAGACGGGGTGTAACACTACGTCTATTGCTGCACGTCGTGTAGTTACAAATGCCAGTAATAACACGTCTTCTGGCTTTAATAATGGTATAGGAACTATCTTAGAAACTACACCTTTTCCTAGGCTTACTCCAGAACGTAGAACTATTCACTCGACAAATTCGCCGAACATTGACTTTGATTTTGACACAAATAATCCAAACTCTAACACAATTGCTGCTCGTTGTATGAATGTACCACTTGCTGGTGCTGGGGCTACAAATAATAGTGGTATGACTCACTTGACTCCTTCTGGCACCGGTCTTACATTCTTCAAAGCACTTACTTCCAAAATCGGTCGACGGTAAGATGTTATTTTTTATCTTGCTCAATTATATCACCGTTTAAATTTCAAAACTGTTTTTCTAATTTTACAGTACATAAGTATGTCATAGTTTGGTATAGATCTTAAAGCTTAGGAAAATCATATTCCATCTATGAATCATTGTAAGGAAGAAACTTGTGCACTTAAATTCGTATCAATTTCTTCAGTCGTTTCTAACTCTTGGTTACTTTCTAATCACGTAAAACAGTTATATTATAATGATGTAGTGATTACATTACCCACCTTTGACACATTAAGTTTGTTGGGCAGCCTCATAGTACCTCTACCTCGGAAGTCTACTACATGTATTCGATTAAGTTCAACAGACGCTAACACGGAGTAGTTTGAATAGGTTTTTCATATACCTAGCATTTCTTCATTTCATGCAAATATGTTTAAATAAATTTGATGCATCTTAATGCAGTGGATGAACTTGTCCAACCGTGTTTGCTAATTAAACACAGCTTCACAGTATCTGAAAATTCGCGTCCTTATATCTCCCTTCGGTAGAAAAGCCAAATTTGCCATTGGATGGCATGTCGTCACCATTTTCTAGACTAGTTAAAAAGGTAACTTGAGTGACTGATTAGAACTTATTTTGCTTGGTATTTTCGGCGCACTACTTAATTGTCACTTGACGAAATATGAGGCGTAAGAAATCCCATTAACTATTATTGCACAATTCCATAATATATTGATTTGAGTTTAACCAAAAATGTGGAAAAAAAGAGTTTAAAAACTTTCTGTTCGTCATACATTCTTTTCAGAATTAAGAAATCCATGAAGTCATTGACAAGTGGACTGAGTCATGTCGGTAGATGTAGACTTCCTGGCTGCCCCCGCGAGATGATAGTAATCGATGATTAGAGACCCTGAATGACATGGCTCAAAACCGTTTACAATGGCGCATGTGCATTCATTCTTTATGTTCTCTCAAATTCTAACCTGAATTCCTCGTCACTATATCTTTCTCTTTTAAAGTTTATCTCACTAGATCCTACTTCTTGAATAATATCTTCGAACCCTAATCTCTCCTATTACTGCCAATACTTTACTTCTACTACTATTGGATTTGAATTGACAATTACATCTCACTACTAATGTGGGATTGCAACTTGTACTGATGTACTTAGGTACAAAGTTATACGTTGATGTTGATTGATTGATTGATTTTAATGCACATATCTTACCACTCCGAGCTCACTTTTATTATTGAACAAAAGCATAATTACCTCTTCAAGTAATTGCTTGAAAAGTTAATCTAGCCATAAAACTTAACTCTAATTTGATTCATCAGTCTAAAACCGTTAAGTATTTAATATTTTTAAATACTAAAATTTTTCAGAATATTATCTTATTTCAATGCTTTCGTTACTTTTAAATCATAAAGTCGCTACGCTATATGTACTTTTGTAATGTATAGTTTAATAATTCTCGTAATACTGTTTGTGCTTTGTAGGGGACCAAATAGCGGTGCAGTCGGCAATATGTCTCATGCACTTACTGGTGGAACTGATATTTCGCATGTTCCATTCTCCACAGCTGATTCTAATATTGGAGCTTCCGCAACCAGCTCAGGATCAGACTATCTACCTGGCGATTCAGTTTTCTCTGACTCTGGTGTACATGGAACATACATTGAGCCTGTCAGTCAATTAACTCCTGGAGGTAGTTCTGCTGGTTCACCTGTTTCTCAAGGTGGAAATCAAACTGTTACTAATACTGATGATAATGGTAATGATCAAACGAAGCCACGAAGTTTACGTTTTACTTGGTCTATGAAGACAACTAGTAGTATGTGCCCTGATAACATGATCAAAGAAATCAAAAAGGTTCTTACAGCGAATAATTGCGAATATGATCAACGTGAAAGATACCTTCTCATATGTGAGCATGGAGATCCGAGCACAGATGCAAATGTTCAGTGGGAGATGGAGGTTTGTAAACTTCCTCGTTTGTCTCTAAACGGTGTTCGTTTTAAACGTATTTCAGGAACTTCTATTGGATTTAAAAGCATAGCTTCCCAGATTGCTAACGACCTCAAACTATAATCAGCAACACTTTTGTTTACATACTGACGTGTTTCATATCTTACTTCAAATAAAGCTATCGGCCTTTCTGTATACTCGTAATGCCAGATTTCAATTATGACTACGAAAGATCTTGAATAATATTAACACATGCTCAAAGGTATAGTTTTTATGCAGTAATTGTTCGTTTTTTCAAGATGCTATACTGGGGCATAATATCTTTGTTTTGATACAGCCCACAATGACATGTATTTTGTGGTTTGAATTTGTTCTTTGTCTGTATGCGTTTCTTATGTACGCCATTGTACAGGCCTAATGATTACTTCACATGTGTGTAAATCTTTTCTGTCAAATCCTCGTTACTGTCTTATTTGTATTGTAGTGGTTACTTCCAACTAAATTTTAGTGAAATATTTTTTGTACTTGCCAACTTCTTTTTCATTTCCTATTTACACATTCACTCCATTCAACAGCATCATGAGAGCTCATTCATTCTTTGACTCGTGGTCATTTCCTCAGGATTCTTTATCTGCGCTGTTCTTAATGAAATATCTAGAAACACTTGTTTCTCGTAAATGTGTGCATGAAAAAGATGTCATCTAAGTAGATTATGACCAGTCCTGTTTAAATTATATGTAATTTTGTACTTCCACTTGTCCTGGCTGTTTCATTATCGTTTGTCGATTTTATATCTACTAAGTTCAACTATTTAAATATGTCAGTTGTTTCCTAGTATATGGTGTGATGGCTATATATTCATGTAGTATTGTTTTTCATTCTTTCAAAATGATCTCTTCTTTTAATCTCACCACATTTCACTTTTCGTGCAGTTGTATCATCTGTTGGTTTCATGTTAGTAGTCTGTTATTAGCCTTATCACACTATTCTTTTTCCTGAGGGATGTTTCGTCACTTCCAACATTTCATAATAAAATAAATAATCAATATCTACGTTTAATGCTCTCTTCCTATTTTGTCAGTGGATCGAAGAATGCACAATAACTACATTACATTACGGTTTTGCTTTAAAATGAATGCACTGCATCTTGTGAACGCCTTTGATAATTTCTAAGGGGCTGTGTAAAAAGATTGTGTGAGTCTTGTATCAAGTGTTTTATTTTTGTCTTCGGTAATAATATCACTTTAATTACTAGATATTTACATTTTGTTCTGAAATATTTTTTGGATCTTCCCTGTTTGCCGTATTTCTCACCAGTACTCATTGTTACATGTATTCTGTGAACAGATTTATGACATACATAATTATTATTGCTCCTATTCCTATTGTTTCTGAATCTCGTCAATACTAGTATTAGTAATAATACACATGACTTTAAATAAGCACAAATTATAATCTATTTGACCTCTTCCTTTCAAGTGCATTTTCCCAAATGTACAAACCCTATACACACACACACACATGAACTTGTCTGATTGTTTATATTTTGTTAAATTCTTTCATCTTTTATTTGTCTCATTTTTTTTTCGTTCCTTGTATTATTACGTGTATTTTCGATTTGTGATAGGGTGATTCCATTAAATTCATTGAATATATTCTGTCCGGAATGTTTATTTTGACGTTGGTTTCACCTTCTCTTGTTATTCAACACAGTTTAAAAGATATTTTAGCTTTCTGAAGTATTGACAGTTATTAGAAATTTATGCGGAAGTTACATTGTGATATTATTGCTGTTATCTTTTGCAAAATTATAAACTATCTCTTTCAAAATAAGATCTAATTCCACAATGTAGTGTAATGTGTGTCATCCGTAATTATACACTTCTCTTATCTGCACTGTTTATTTCATCTATCTATGTATATGTGTAACTATGATGAGTGACATAGCAAACCTTAGTGCGTTAACACTTTCGATGGCAAATTATAGTAATAATAATGGGTTTTTGCCGGTGACTTTTTGCGAAAAGGATAAAAAGCAGCTTGCTTCAATCTTCATACTACCATATATCACCATTTTTACTTTTGCTTTTCTTAATTAAAATGTACTCTGTTCAACTGGTGTGCAAAAATCTGTGTACCTTGGTAAGAAGACAAGTCAGTTAAACTTATGATTAACATTGTGAAAAACTGTTTTGTACGTAATAGATTATCTCTGTTATATCATGCATACATTTAAATTGTTACATTCAAATGCTTGCTTATGCCCTATCTTCTGTCTCTCCTCTTGAATCATTTGTGTCTCATTTAGTTCAAGGAAGTTGTTCTTTCAACTCCGTCCTGTATACCTACTTTTAAAGGCTAAATCAACTTTACACATGCGCAAACGTACATATATGTGTATGAATCATCTTTTTAACCTTATATGCATATATTTGAACGTATTTATTAAGATTCTACAGCCACGTGATCATTTCAATGCACTCAAATGTGTAGAATTCCCACTACAGACAAATGAAACTAGTGTTTAGCAAATTGACTTTTTCCGTATTCCGTTTTTCTTTGTTAGCGGTTCGCTAGGTTTTACTTGTTCATATTTTTAGTTACGCTAGTGATAACAATATGGAACGCTTCATTTTTAATATGGTCCTACGAACTCAATAATATACCGAATGTATTATTCATACATGAAGTAACTGCTAGCATAATAGCGAAACTCTAGGTAACTTATCTTTCACTAAAATAACCATTGTACATCAAAGATCAGTTTGCTATAACTTACAATATAGCAGGAAGAGGCGACAATTTCGAGCATCCACTTTTACAACTCTAAAGAAAACAGTTATTCGAAAAGCGAACAATCAAAGATCCTACTCAAAATCAATAGTCTGGATGTATAAATAAAATTGAGTTACTGACAGTTTGTTACATGTCAAATGTGACTTGCTAGTTCCTATATCCGTCATAATTGGTACTCACTCAGTCACTTACAACATGGAACTTCGTACGTATGTACATCAACTCAAGCTGCCATACCACATTATCACAGATGCAATTGTCGATTCAAATCCCGTAGTAGTAGGCATGTGAGCAGTAGTCGGAAAGATCACGGTCCGAGGATATTATTCAAGAAGTATAATCCAGTGAAATAGATTTGAGGAGAAAAAGATTTTCGATAGGAGTTTACATCATAATTTGGGAAAACACAAAGAATGCATTCATCTACGCCATTGCAAACGACTTTGAACAATGGCATTCAGAGTTTCTGACCATCGCTCATTATCGTCTCGCGGACCCCAACCAGTCAGTCCACATCTACCAACATGGCTTACTAACTTGTCAATGACTTCATGGATTTGTGCTATGTTTTGGTCTGACCGCGCCTAGCTTTCTTCCAACTTACTCCTGCACCACAAAACTTCGTTCGTTGAGGCAGTCGATGGTCGGGCATTCGTAACACATGTCCCAACTAACTGAACTGATGAAGATTCACTGCTTCATCGATTGATCTTCCATCCTTACCTTGTACTCGTTTCCTAACAACAACATTGCTCACTCGGTTATCCCAGGATATATGAGTACTTATACAAATTAACCGTCCATTGGCAAGGGTAATCTTGCACTAGTTTTCAGAAGAACTAAGGAGACTTCCCAATTGGTAACGCTTCAACGTGAACAGTTTGGCTCAATCGCGTGGCGCAACCACACAGGTACCTAACTCCCTGATGGTCCAGCGATAGAAGCTCACGATCGATATAATCGAACATAGCCCTGAGGTCGAGTAATGCAACTATTGTGGGACTTCTGAACGTGTGTATGTTCTAAGGCCTGACAAAGTGTGAATATGTGTTCTATACACCCAAGTGCCGGTCTGAAACCAGTCTGGTTTTCTGGAGTCTACTGTTCACGAACTCTGGTTAAGCGTGAAAGTATTATTGAGACTAATATTTTATGAATTATATTAGACAAACTGATTGCTCTTTGATTTTTGCAAGAGGACTTTTTTCCTATTTCACTCACTGGGGAGATCAGTTATTGAAACCAGTCGGATGAGATTGCGTTCAGTTTCAAGATTCTAGCTAAAATCTCAGTTAATATTTCTGCTAAGACTGAACGACGACACCAGAAACAGTGGTTAGTCGATCAGGTCCTGTTGCTCTCGGTCGCCTTAGATAGTCTGTAGCCCTTTTGACCTGATGCAGAGTTCGACGACTTGCATCAACTTATCATTCAGGTTGACTGGGTATCATGGGTAACCGGAATTCGGTTCACGGTCAGTTGAACTGTTCCTCAAAGTGTTCTGCTCCTCGATCCAATCTCCTTTATTGGAGACCAGAAATAACGTTTCGTGAGGTCGAAACGTTTGCGTGAGCGATGTGAGGTGACAAACAATGGGTGTGGACAGATTTGGTTGTGAGTGATTCGATCGCGTGTGTTGTTTGGAGTGTGATGTTGGAAGTTACTCCCCGACTGCCCGCACTCCTGAAGGGTGGTTTTTGAAGAACCGAATGTGGGAATCGGATTAGCATCGATGTGAACGAGCTGCGAGCGTGATCGCAGAGATCGAGGTGATTACGATAGGCAAGTGCGACCACCACATCAAGGTAGCTGCTGCGGTTGGGATAATTGTTGCTTTAATTATTCATCTCCAATTACTTTAGCTCTAGACCGAGCTCTAGCGATGGTAGCTTCTAAATTGTAGGAATTCCCATGAAAATATTTTGACTATATATATCGTAAAATCTAATTATCGTCGATGTAATGAAGCTCGTGTCTATCATAGGTTCAATTTTGACTTCATCAGTTGATTTGATTTTTCGTCATAAAAATGCATTAGGTTGCGATGTATGATTAAATAAAAGTACTGTGTTAATATAAAGAAATAAGATGTAAACTTTTCTTATTTCATGAAAAAAAGATCGAACGATGTTGTCATTTCTACATATAACTTGAAAACAACAGTTCATCTATATAACTTGAAGTAGTATCATATTCTAAGGTGGTTTCACCTCGGTAGATTAATGTTTTGTACTGTATTTTAAAATATTCGCATCATTTTCCTACCTAAGCTTATGGATTGTAAGCTGTCAGTAAGTTATCTCGGTGTAGATGCCATACGTTCCCTAAGTAATGATAGCTAGCATATGTTAGTTTTCGGTCATGCTAGCTCTGAGATCATTTCTGTGTATGCATTCTTGATAATCTTACCACAAAACATATCTTTCTACTAGCCTCACATTAATGAAATACAGTTGAGAATATGATTCTCAATCGGCAGATCGACTGTTTTCACTTGATGGCTACAATTTTGTAGTTGATGGTATGGCTTTCTAAACTTTAAATGCACACAAAATTTCTTGTTCATCTAAACCGTTGCCTCTACTAATTTGCATAACTTTACAAAACCCATTTATACGTGGATAGGATGATTTAGTAATAGGTATTTTCCCTGAGTAGTAATCATTGATGAAGTTACCCAACTGGTGTTCTTTCACGACAATAGCCATCTTCAAAAATGTTTACTGAAAATGTAACTCTATTTTCTTGTATGCAATCCAGCATCCATCCACATAATACACGAAGAAATCTACTACAATAAAATCATATACAGTTTGAACCTCAAAAAGTATATTTAAACTGGGAGTTGTAATGTTTATCACACAAAATCTCTTCATGTCTTCTAGTCATTATTCCTGTTAAACAAGTAATCAGTAGTGTTGCTTGTTATCTTCAAGTTGTTTTTAGTTCAATAGGAAAGAAAACATGAATGGTCATGTTTTATGATGGCACTGTGGATTAGGAACATATTTCTCATTCACACGAATGTCAGACATAATACATACATATAATCGTTACAAATATTTTTTATTCATATACTACATAAAGACATTTATTTATTTTTAGTAAATGCAAAATAATGAATGAATCATTTGTATTTTCTGATTAGTATTATAATAGAATAACGGTTCTTAAGAAATAACTAAATACTAAAAAGCAAATAAATGCCTCATAGAATAAACTTGATCGACTGTAGAGTTTTTTTTTATAATTCTTTATGTAGGTGCGTATATTTAAATCAATCAATAAAACAAGCAGTGGTTTAAAATAGAAGTATAGATCGCATACATTATTTGTATGTTCAATAATTAAGATTATTATTATACTGCAACTATATATAAATAGTTGCAAATAAAATTTTCATAAGTATGAAGTACATTTCATATATATGTGAGCATTTTCGTAGTACACTCCCAACGTAATGTGTATAGTCAAGCTGGTATGCCAATAGGCCCTCGTGTACTGTACATACATTATCAATTGCATATTCTATAAATTTGTACAGTACAGCAATTCTTATAATCACGAAGAACTTCAGTCAGATGCAACGTAGAACTTCGTACGTAAGTACATCAGTTCATGTTCCCATACCAGATCAGCACAGAGATATAATTGTCAATTCAAATCCAATAGTAGAAGAGGTAGTAAAGGTATTAGAAGTAATCGGAGAGGTTAGGATGAGAAGATATTCAAGAAATGTGATTCAGTGAGAAAAGTTTAGAAGGTCAAAACTAGAGGGGTTGAAGAATCCAGAAGATTAAGGTTTGAGAGAACACAAAGAATAAATGGTTTTGAGCCATGTCATTCAAGGTCTCTAACCATCGATTATTATCATCTCGCGGACCCCAACCAGGTAGTCGACAACTACCACCGACATGACTAAGTACACTCGTCAATGACTTCATGGATTTGTGCCATGTTTTGGTTTGGCCGCTCCTAGCTTTCTTCCAACCTATTCCTACACTACAAAACATAGCTCGACGAGGCAGTCGGTGGTTAGGCATACGCAGCACATGTCCCAACCATCTCAACTGATGAAGTTCCATTACTTCATCTGTTGATCTTCCATTCTTACCTAGCACCCGTTTCCTAATAACAGCGTTGCTCACTCGGGTGTCCAAGGATGTACGAGCAGTGCTTCGAAGACAGATATGATCGAAAACCAATAACCGACGAACATCTTCTACTCTCACTGGCCACGAAGAACTTCATATTCATTTGATTAGATAATCTAGTTGCTCTGTAATGTTTACACAAAATCTCTGGATTTCTGCATCTGCATTAGAATCCAATGTTTTCCCAGTTGTTCATTTGACGAGTGCATTAAATTTTGTATTTCGCTTTAACAGTTATATACTATTATTACTTTGATGTTATATCGTGTGTTCTTAATCTGCACTTAAATAATCGAGTAACAAAGTTTAATGAATACAAAATGACCTCAAGAGAAGATCACCCCTAGTAATGAAATAATGTGCTAACAAAAATTCCTTTTTAATTATACCAATGTTTTGTCTTAGTCCTAAATTATGCAACCGTTCCTCCTCCGTTCATATATAGATCGATTAATTAAAAATTACATTCTACTCTTTTAGCATGATGACAAATATCCAGGCAGTTTACAAGGTCAGTACTGGTAAATATTCGGAGAAAGTTGACTAATTTGTAGTCCTCGTTACAAAACAGATATAGGGATGCCAACAGTTATGTAGTATTTTTCATTATGGAGTGACGGAGCTTGTTGTTTATTACTGAAACCATGAATCAATCATTGTTAGAGACCTGAAAGCACTGGACGTCCGTTTCGTCCCAGTATGAGACTCATCAGCGGTGCACATTCACAAGTTCTTCTACATTAACACCGTTTAATGCCTACCGAGAGG